ACTCAAACTAAAGCATTGTTCTCTGTGCAAGTATACGCTCCATTTAAAAATTCTTCAGCACTTTACCCTCAATGGGTCAATTTCTTTTTGCACTACTTTCAGATGTGGCACATGCATCTTCCTCTACCTGCAGTGCACTGATCAGCTGTTTGGACTGCAGCTTCAAAAAGAAAAAATTACAATGTAACTGTAGCACAACTAGACAGTGAGGATGACATAATGTTTACTGTGGAAAACATGTGTGAAGCAGAGATTACAGACAAAGACTAAGACTAAACAGACTGAAGCTGAGAGGAGAGAAACTTTGGGGTTACCTGGTGGTCCAGGTGTGTAAACTGTGAGCCTATCAGAGAGCTGCGGCTATCAGCAGTGGGACTTGCTACGAAGAGGATTTCAGGACCATTCTCCTTCAAGAAAACAACCTCTAAATATCTTGTTTTCGTTGTGTATTCAACCGCATAAATGTGGTAAAGGATGAGAAAATGATTGTATTTTGTTTTTATCCTCATTTTACACAACATCCTGTAACTGAAGTTTGTATTTATATAATTATAATCAAATACTAATTCAAATTCAACAATCCATTTTTATCTCTGTGATATGGCTTTGATTTGCAGCAATGTGCAGCAACATCTGATATAGATTTTTACAGCTATGATTAAAAAATCGTGTTGCTGTGGCAATGGCACTGAGAGGAGTGGATGCCCTCAGGTGCGTCATGTGTCTGCTGCGTGAATAACGTTATAAATGGAGTTGAGTGTTTTAATTGTCTGTACTGAAGGAAAGAGGGCAGAACATATGCAGCACTGATCTGACCATCTGTCCCTCCCACACACAGAGGGGGCTTTCCCACATATCATAGGTGCAACAGATTGTGTGTGTGTGTGTGTGTGTGTGTGTGTGTGTGTGTGTGTCCAGGTGTGGTCAGGCTCTCTGCTAATCTGCTAATTGTGACATATTGTGCAGTGATGAGAGCAGCCCAATAAACTGACCCCTGAGGAAACACACACATGCCCTCTAAAGTGAATACACACACACACCTTGATTGTGAGTGAATGAATTGATAACAGAGCGATCATTATCTGCTCATTGATGTCTTCAGAGGCTGATAAAGACATGATTATAAAGGTGAAAATGAGCACCATGTGAGTCATCAGTGGCATTTGCAGTGAGGTGATGACTTCACGTACTCCTTATTTCTCTCTCTCTCACTCTCTCTCTCTCTCTCTCTCTCTCTCTCTCTCTCTCTCTCTCTCTCTCTCTCTTACACTTATACCCACACACACGCACACAAACACACACACAAGGATAACACTGCAGAAAGCTTTGACAACAGCTGAATAATTCAGACACGTCAGCACATCGTGACGGAGTATCAGCAGAGTTAGAGACAGTTTAAACAGAAATCATGAATATCTGTTGAGTATCAAATGGAATGGTTTACTTGAAGCCTGATGAGGAAAATTATCACATTACTCATTAATGTTTTCGTTGTGCTACTTTCTCAAATATCAGCCACACTTAACTTTCTTTTAATATCCTTTAAACCCCTTTTTGAAAAGAGTTCCCAGAACTTTATTAGAGTTAGTACTATTAGAAATAATTAAATGTTTCACTGCAAACCAACCTGATTTCTTTTACTAATGACAGATCTTGGAAAATTTTCATTCTGGTTTGCACACCCAATACAGCACTGAAACTGCTCCAGTCAAGGACTCAAAGACTTATTGCTTGCAGGAGATTCTGGCTTGTACTCTGACCTTAGCTCAGTATTTAATCAGCTGTCTGAAATTCTCTTTTGGTACAAGTGAAGTGGCGCTTCAGTGGTTCATTTCCTATCCATTAAACAGGTTTTTTTTCTGTAGTGTTTTGAACTGCCTCCTCCTCTTCTTGTGTCCTTCTTTTATGTGGGGTCCTCCAGGGGTCTATCTTGGGTCCCTTTTTATTCGCTATACATGCCTCCCCTGGGGCAAATCCTGCATAGGCGTGGTTTAGACTTCCTTGCTATGCAGATGATACTCTGCACTATGACGACTGATGTGTCTCACATTATGTCCTCTCTGAATGAAGTTGATGAGGGTGTGGGAAAGATTTTGTGGGGAAATGAAATTATTGTCATTACTCCCCCTGCCCAAGTTCCAATCTGTCCCTTAGCCTGGGTGCCTTGTCTAATAATGTTTGCATGCAACCAAGGAGTCATTTTGTACTCTGACCTTTCCTTTGATACCCAGGTGACAAGAGTAATGCAGTCCTGCTTTTCTCAGTCTTGACAGATAACCGAAACCAGCACCTGTCTTATTCCTCCATCTCATTTATATATTGTTTTTTTAGGGGCTTTAAGTTGCCCCAGACTTGTATCTGTGAGCAGCTAACTTCTTATAAGCCTGACCACAGCCTAAGGTCCTCTAGCAGGACCTCTAGACTGGTCACAATAGGTGACAAAATGTTTGCAGTTTTTGCTCCCTGGTAGTGGCCCAACGGACTTAGTTCTAATACATCTTAAGATACACGTGGAATTAAAATGACTAATAAAAAAGTTATTTCTCCTTATTATTGCTGATGTTAATTTTTTGTTTTACGTTCTCTCTTTGTCCTTCTAATATCACCAAAACCACATAAAAGGTAGACTTCACGTGTGCTTCTAAAAGTGATCCATCCTCTTACTTTGATTTTTGTGCCTGTGTGCAGGTGCAGCAGATAATCGTGATGTTTGTGAGGAGGGACTCTGGTTTAACTTTAAATTTAACTTTACAGTTATCCAGGGAGGAAAAAGTATGCACAGACAGATTTTTCTTTTTCATGACAGCAGGCAGGTTGGAGGGACAAGCTTTAAGAGTTTCAAGAGGTGCAACAGATCATACATTTCACTGTTCAGTCTCGTTCAGTTCATGGATCATCTGAAAAGAGGAAAGAGATAATTGTATAACTTTTGTTCTTCCCTCTGAACCATACCTCACAGGAATCACTGTGAGTCTCTGTGCAACTCATTATCAGGGCTTTACTCTGACATTAGCCCGCTGCACATGCCTATTCAACAAAGATAAAGACTTTTATGAGAATACTTCTATACTGCTTTTATACATTCAATATTCAATAAACTTACTCTGATACATGAGGGATCTTTGACCTGGACTGAACCCACCTGAGGGAGCTTTAAGGTGGACCGGACTCACCTCAGAAGGGTTTGACCTAATCTTGACCCACCTAGGGGAGCTGTGACCTGGACTGGACCCACCCTGGGGAGCTCTGACCTGGACTGGACCCTCCTCAGAAAGCTTTGACCTAACCTTGACCCATCTGAGAGAGCTTTGATGTTGACTGGCAACTAATTTGAGGTTTACTATCAGGTTCTGATGTGCTGCAGCTTTAAGTCTTTCATGTTCTGATATCATTAGACATCAGCTTAACAAGATATCTGGTCCCACTCTTACATTTATCAAATTACACCAAATTACTTACTTTATCCCAACGCTGTGGTGGCTGCAGGTCTGCAGAGTATTCCAGATGCCTCACTAAAACCCCAAGGTTTCCTCCCAGGCCTAAAAACAGAGAGCAGCATTAAACCCACAGGAGTCTCACAATGTTCTGCTGACACAGAGGGAGGCTGGTGGTGATAAAACATGGAGTACACAGTGTTTAAAGCAGACAGCAGACTTCCTGTCCTCTGATTCATACATCAGACTGCTTAATGAAAGCTCCATTAAATGTCCATTTTGATTAAAGACCATTACTGTCCATTCTGCATGGCGTCTCTGAGGGAACAGGAGGCCTAACGGCTGCACATCTCTCCACTGACCCGAAGATTAAACCATGAACCTGGCCTTGTCTCCTCTCTGCTGATCAGAGGAAGCAACTCTAAGCATGTCTGCATTAATGTTACATCTGCAGCACCTTACGCTCACCATTACTAATTAATCCAAATCATGTTCCACAGCGTCGTGCACTCACACGCCTCGCTGCCCCCCCGACCAGCCGTCCTCAGCTCCGGCATCTTCCTGAATAAAACATCCTAATAATTCAACTTAAGCATTTTGGATATACATTATGCATGAGAGTGAAATCAGTCCAGAGGGCAGCTGAACCAGGATGTTGACTTTCTGTTTCTATGTGAGTGAGTATGTGAGCACTGATTTATTTATCAGGAATATCTAATGGCAGTGCGTGAGGCGAGCAGCATTAAGCAAACACTAACAGTAAGTAACGCAGCTCACAGTTCAGGGCCTGTTTCACAGCCTGTTTTACAGTCTGCAGAGGTTCCTCTCCTTCTTCTCCTTCTTCTTCTTCTTCTTCTTATTCCCACAGGTGAGAGCAGACAGCATGATTTTATGCAGAGACGTTTCCCTCACAACAACAAGAAAGAGTTTAAGAGTCAGAGCCTCCAGAGTCTAAACACAGCGTCGGAGCATAAAGAGAGAGCGCTTTAACTCTGAAACATTAACATGATAGACCTCTAAAATAAACAAAGAAGGATCAGCAGGGTCTACAGTAATGGTTTTTGCTTGTTGACATCTCATTTTTACAATTTTTTTCAAAAGCTTTAACTCCCTGGAGTCCAGAAAAAATAAGACTAAGAGTCTGTTTTAATAATCTTTGTAATAGGTCTGCAGTTTTGATTGTTTGGATGATTTTTGCATCGGATCTGCAGCCAAAATGTATATAATGTGATTTTTTCTGTAATTTTCACATCAGTTGGTGGTCATACATGTTTTCAATGATTTGGAGGTTACCAAGTGCGTGTGAAAATGACCTGTTTCTGTTGTATTTATGGTTTTTTTACCTACCATGAGGTATTACATCTCGAAGACAGACCTCCGTACAACCAGAACAGTGGAACGCAAACAGATAGCAGCATGTCGACTAATGAAAACTATCCTATCAGTATACTATGGTTAATTTGCAGTTTCTTGTGTGCTGTGTATTGAAGGAAAAGGAAGGTATTATTGTGTACTTCCTGGAGCAGTAAAAAGCATCTCCTGGGGTTTTGAATATCCCCCCATACACTGCTATCTCTATAGTGTCAGGTCTGTAATAATGGGGGAAACAGCTGATGGTGTGTTTAAAACAATTACATTTAAGGAACAGCAAGAGTCGGTTAAACACCATCAAACACCTGACCTGAAAAATAATCTGAAAGTTTTGGTCAATGAATCAACACCTAAGTTCAGTTCTCTGAGTGTGTGTTTTTAGTGCGTGTGTGTGTGAAGGCCTCTGTCAGAGTGGGTCACAGATCCACAGACTAATACCATCTGGTCTTGACCACACCTCTTGGGACCTCAGCCCTGCCTCCTTTGCACCCCTCACCACTCACATACCAAGCCACTTTACAATCAAGCCATTTATCCATCCATCCCTCCATCTATCCAGTGCCCTTCTTTCCCATAATCCCCCTGTACTGTCTCTCTGTGGCATGGCCATTATCAACATGTTTTTGTCAGAGAGTCCATCTGAACGAGTCCCCGTGGATCTTTGGTTTGATAAAAGGCCTCACAAACCTCTGAGGGGACATCTGTCGCCTGATTCAGGGACTTACAGTAGATTTGTGTGTGTGAGAGAGAGTGTGTGTGGGTTTCTGTGTGTTTCAGGAGATAGTGGGGGAAAAGACGGTCTAATATGTTAGAGTTCATCCAACAGGCTGTCCTGGGAGATGGTGCATGTGTGTGAATGCTGTGATGATATGCAGACATACCCTGGAGTGCAGGATTTTTCAGAGTGTTTGTTTTTATGTTTGACTCTGTCTGCATGCAGATATCTGCAGGATGTGAATGTTTTTCTGCAAAACATGAAAAAGCAAGAGAAAGTCTATGAGAAAAAAACTCAATCAGGTCTAAATATCTAATTAAAATATAAAAATCTCCAGTTTTATTTCAGTTGTCAGTCAGAGGTCTTGACCAGCTGGTCTGAACACTTCCACTACCTCATATAAACAGTTTGAACAGGATAAAACTGCTGATCAGGAAAAGGGGGAGTGATCTCCAGTTACCATTTTGTTATCTGGTTAAACAGCCATGTAGACACTCACTCAGCTTGTATTCTGTTGACAGATGTTTGGTGCATGCTTGTTTCTCATCTCCTGTGACTTTGAAGCAACATGTTGGTGTTTAACTGAATGAAATGAGGGTCTGTTTTTGTTAACTTCATAGAACTCAACATTAATAATCTGCTTGACAGGCAAAAATGGAGAAACAATGATTGTTTTTTTTCTGTCCATGAAGAATTGAAGGCACATTGTACAAATTAGCCACAAGCCACAAATTAAAGTCTCCTCTGTAAAATAAACGTTTTTGTGACTAAATGAAGGAGTTTATGAGTTCATCTCTGAGGATATTGAAAATTATATGGTGTGTGTGTGTGTGTGTGTGTGTGTGTGTGTGTGTGTGTGTGTGTGTGTGTGTGTGTGAGGGCATGCCTTCTTGTATTACTACCCTTCTTGAGACATCAACCAAGAAAAGTAGCCGCCAAATTAGGACCGATGGACAAGTTAGAACCAAAAATATGGTCCTAATAAGGAAAACCACTACATTTGATAAAGAATGGCTCACTATCATGTCTGGTGGAGAAATCTCGTAAAAACACTATGACCCAAAAAGGAGGGATTTTTCAAATTGGGTGTGTGTCAGTTTTCAGAAGAGTGACATCTGTGGCCAAAATCTGTAATTACAGTGTGTGTAGAAATTTGAAGTGCACCCCCTTTGGCCAACATATGTAACTGCATACAGTTACATATGTTAAGTCATACATTAGAAAGGGATGGGAAGGGACATCAGAAGGGATGAAAGACAGTTACAAAATAATAATAAGTATCTGATGGATACTTCTGCTGGGCGAAGAGTTTACTCAAGAGAAGAGCTCCTTTCATTGAGGAAAAGCAAATCTGGACAACAACATATAATTCCAGAGGACATCAGGAGGTGTTATCATGGTTGCCATTCTGGTGCAAAGAGGAAGGCAATGCTGAATGCTAGGAGGTGGCGATATAAACCCTTTCTTCCATCAATCATCATGGGAAACATCAACTCTCTGCCCAACAAAAACGATGAGCTGGAGATATTGGTGAAGACTGAGAAAGCATATCGTGAGTGCAGTTTCCTGTGTTTTACTGAAACCTGGCTGAATCAAAACAACTCAGACTCCAGTGTGGATCTACCTGGCTTCACTCTCATAAGGTCAGACAGAGATGCTCAAGCTAGTGGCAAGAAGAAAGGAGGAGGTCTGGCTTTATTTGTCAACCAGAGATGGTATAACCCTTTACACACAACTGTCAAGGAGAAGTTGTGTTGTCCAAATATTGAATTGTTGGCAGTTGCTCTCCGGCCATATTATGTTCCAAGAGAATTTAGTCATATCATAACAGTAATTGTTTACATTCCACCCAAATCAACTGAAAAATGTTGCAATGTTTAGCAAAATAGTGTTGCCAGGCTACAGACTCAACACCCTGAGGCACTAATAATAATATCGGGAGACTTCAACCATGTCACCCTCTCCTCTCACCTGACTGGATTCACACAGTTTGTGAACTGTCCTACCAGAGGAAACAAGACCCCGGATCTGCTGTATGCCAATGTCAAAGAAGTCTACAGAGCCACTGCCTTACCACCACTGGGCAAGTCAGATCATAACTCGTTCTTTCTGCAAACCTGTTACAGACCTTGTGTACTGAGGCAGCCTGTGACCAAAGTCAAAATCAGAAGATGGACACCTCAAGCCAGTGAAGCTCTAAGGGACTGTTTTAAATCGACAGACTGGCCACTAGCTCTGTGATTGGTCTGCTTAGTAGTGTTGTCCATGTTCCTTGCCCTCTTCCTCAGCAGCCTCATTTTCTGTCCACAGTAGCGTTTCCTCTTCTTCTTGCAAATGTAGCATGATCAACTACTGCACCACATTTATCAGGCTCTACTCAACTATATTATTCTTGGATTCTGTTGCCATGGTTACTTGTTCACAAACAAGGAAAAACATAGTGAGACCCAGAATTAGTGATATGACAAGCGTAGAAGCACCCTTCTTCCCCTTGAGATCCTGTCCATGAAAATCACATACATAATCTGTGACAGCCTCAGAACTCCATCTTTACAGATCATGTGGTTGGTTCTGTTGGGGTCATATGCTGCATTCGAGTTACCTCGGAAGTCAGAATTCCGAGCTGAAAATGACGTCACACCCGAGTTACCTGTGTTTCAGTTACCTTGTCCTTGCTTATATTCGGACATGGCAAGCGCTAAAATAACTTTTCGTAGATGTAGCCATTGTGTTTCAGACCTTCAATTTTGCTTTTTTCTGGTAACTTGAATGCAGCATTAAGGCCAGGATCTCCAGCAGGCCTGGGGTGGTTGGAGTTGAGTTGCTGCTTCTTGGGATTGAAAGGAGTCAGCTGAGCTGGTTTGGGCATATAATAAGGATACCTCCTGGGTGCCTCCTCCATGGAGGTTTCTCAGGGGGAGGGCCAGTGGGAAGGTGACGGTAAAGGAGGTCCAGAGCTCATTGGAGGGATAAAATCCTAAAAGTTCCTTGGGATCCCATTTGCAGAGCTAAAAGCCCTTCTGGGGAGACTGAGGTCTGGGTTGACTTGGTAAGATGACTTACCTCAAGACCCAGTCCTGCAAAAGTGGAAGAAATGGATAGATGGACTGTTAGTGGAGTTACATTATTGATGAACAGAGCACACCTCTGGTTGAGAAGTACCTGTATATACATGATACCTGTTAAGAGATTATAAAACTGTAAACAGCTCCTGTAACTCAGATGTAAGTTTGTGCCCAGAACACTGAGATGAACCGTGTTCAGACTCAGATGAGCTGCAGCGAAGGTGTAAAGTTAGAAACAGATCAGCTGTGATAAAGGTGTGAGCTGTGATCAGGCTGTGAGAGAGGTGGAGAGGTTAGAGGAGGGAGGGGAACACACGACCTTACAGCTATGTGAACTCTGCCTGTGTGTGTGTGTGTTGTAGGTGACAGTCACAAAAAGCCTCCGTCAGCCTGCTGCAGTCAATTAGAGGCTCAGAGCCCTGAGGGCGACACTCCACCATTTCAGTTCACATCTCCACCTCCTCCCTCACTCCCCCCTTCTCTCCCTCACTCCCTCAGACTCAAACCTTTCTTCCTCTGGTTCCTTCTCTTCTCTGTGAGCGCCGTGACAGCCGCTGCAGTCAGAGGCTTTCATCCACAGCGTCACCTGTCACCGCCATCCTCCATGTTTCTGTTGTTCTACCAGAGCGGGAGAGCGGGGGAGGACAGGGGGAGGTGGAGAGGGCGGGGAGGAGAGTAAGAGTGCAAGGGGGAGGATGACATGTGGGGTGATGATAAGGAACATGAAGAGGAGCAGAGTGACACTGAGTCAAAGAGAGCATGATCTGAGGTTACATTTCCATTTCCACTGTAGACATTCAGCTGACGCTTCTCAACGCCTGCTCACTGACTGAGCAAGCCAGTGAAAAACACGTTTAACTGCCCCGTCTGCAGACTCACAGCCACATGAAGCAAAATGTGAGGCCTGAAAATATCCCACTCTGTGGTCAGGTATGTTTTAAAAAGCGCAGAGTGGAAAATGTGTTTGAGTATCTTTATCTTCTCTCTGTCACTTAGATTGATGTAAGGTTTGCTGCTGGAGGAAAACTGTCATAAGGAGCTGTTAACTGCTGGTCACACCTTTGGGAGGTTAAACAGATAGGTAAGCCCTGCCTCCAGCACACTCACTGACTGATATGTTGAACACTTTAGACCACACTTAGACAGGAGCCTGAAATCCTCAGGTCTGGAAATATTTAGGATTAATAGATGCTTCTCCTTAAAGGGATATTCCGGCATAAAATTGATTAATTAATTAGAGTTAGATACCCCCTCGAGAGATTAATTTTGCCCACTGCTTGCTTCTCTGGTTATACCAACTTTAGTAACGACCGCATGATAGCAATACACAGCAGTCTAAGGAGCCCAGGCGCTCAACAAAAAAAAGCCACTCTATAGCCACAAATAATGCTCAGAACAGCACCTAACTTAATCAACGGTACATATAGGGTCCCAGCCATAGTACTAGCCACCAAACATCTTTTTAGCTTTGCTTGGTTTCTTTAGCAAAGAGACTAAACACAACTCACCGACTCTCTTCAAGCAGCCACTTGTTTGTACCGAGACCTCAGGCAAGTCCATTATGGACTGCAGCTGGGGGACACAGCTTAAGGAAGAACATCTGATCCCCAACATGTCAGTTTATTTTGACATTGATCTGGATCGGAAATATGAGAAATCCTTCACATTGCTCTTACATTAAATTCAAATTTGAACATATAACTTTATTGAAACCAGGATGAGGATGAGTGTTGAGGTTTAGGGTGATGGGAGCTTTTAAAGAGAAGACAGTCTGCTCTCAGAGGGAATGATGAGCCGATGATTTCTCCTCTGAGCCTTAATGTACGCAGAGATTTGTTTCCATGATTGCACCAATTACAGCACACTGATCACATTACAGCCTGGGAGCTCTGTCACAGCTGTCAGATGGTTGGCAGATTGGATTATCACAGGTAATCCTGCTCTCTTTATGCTTCTATTGAAAGGCTTTTGTTTTAAATTCTGATACTGAATTCACTGTAAGAAAAAACAACACCCACACTGACAAAACCACTGCTGCCATGTCAAAGAAATCCTCTTCAGAAATGAAAGATTGTTTAGCTGCTCACAGGTATTCAGTCTTTAGAATTGATTGCATGGATTTACATTGCAATACTATAATGACACACTTAACATTTGCACTGAAATGGCTGCAGATAAACCAAACTGAAAATTTAGAATGGACATACATGTGCATCATTAAAACCTTGTACTGTGTTTGTGACATTTACAGATTTGTATAGGGTATACAAATCTATGAAGGATATAAATATATTTTTGCACAGTGTGACTCTTTTTTTAGTCGATACAGCTGAATGGTAAAAATTCTCTTTTTACAGACTCAGTGCCGGCCTGTCAGAGGTGAAGTGGTGGTACAACCCGATGTGACCACAGACCTTGTGAGCTATTTGACAGTATCTGTCTGTGTGTCTACAGTGTGTCGCACTGATTAAACCTTTCTGCAGCCGCCGTGTCGCTCTGCTAAATCTCTGTTTCCCCTGACAGAGGAAGATGTAAACGTTGACAGCTAGGGCAACGTTTACTTCCAGATCAAGCTGAACTCTTAGCCTGAAGCTTTCTCTGACTGCCGAGCATTTCCACACTGCTGTCTCTTTGCGCTTGTGTACAACACCTGATGGGAGATTGTTTACAGTGTTCAAATGTCAAAATGTCTCAGAGCAGCTCATGGTGACAGCTCGGCCCCGCCACACGCTTGTGCTGCTCAGTCAAAACACCAGCATGGTCTGAAACAGTGACAGTTTGCTCTGCTAAGGCAAAAATAACACCACTGCAAACAAATGCTGCTGATCTCTGACACAGGAACACAGAAATATATAAAACTATCAGTTTATTTCTAGTCATACTCGGTGACCTGACACGAAGGTCTAAAAGCTGGTTTTAATAGCAGACAAAGTTTTATCACAGAGGTTGGCAAACATGTTTTCATATGTAAACTAGAAAAGCACTCGGAGAGCGCAGACCTCCGCCAAGTAGCTCATGTCCCCCTTATATTGTGATTCACACCAAAACTTTCACTATTATGTGTCTTTTATTAACTTTTATTTGTGTTTAAACTGGTATGTTCACTGTTCATAATGTTCCTAAAACAAGAAATGCCCTGACCCGGATTCGAACCCAGGACCTTCTTGCTGTGAGGTGACAGTGCTAACCACTGCACCACTGTGCCGCCCATTGGTTATCTTTCAGCATTGAAAATTCCAACGACACCCTTATTTTTGTGTGTTCTGGATCACAGTATCCAGAATTTTGTCTGGATCAGGATCAACCTTTGACACCTCATAAAACTCATTGAGATCCTTTTGTGTAATTTTTTACTAAAGACTCTGGCCATTTTTATAGAGTTAAATGCAAAAATTCCAAAATTTGCCCTATCTCACAATGATAAAGAATCCTTCAAAAAAATTCCTGGATCCAGAAGGTGATCCAGATCACCATCAAAATGTAATGGGATCATTCTGGGGCTGAGACGCACCTCTGGTGAAAATTTCAGGTAAATCTGTCTGTTACTTTCTCCGTAAAGTTGTTCACAGACAAACAAACAAACAAACAAACCAACACTACCGAAAACATAACCTCCTTGGCAGTAAATACAGTAAATAATAGGTTAAAAATGTTGAATATTCTTTTCTGAAGGTATTTGATGAAGAAATAAAACTCCTTGTTTTGTTTTCTCAGTCATCTTTGTAAAATCAAATCACTGCACAGTCCTGCAGACAATGCTATTTCCATTCCAGCTGACTTTTGCTGTTGCCAATGTTGTTCATGTTTGTAAGAGAGGATCTAACCAGCTATTTTTAGCTAATTTTCCACTGTCAAAAGTTAACAAAGATATTTAAATTTTCCAACAAACACCTTGCCCAAAGTCTGAAATCCATGGCACATTGCTTCACTGATATTTTGAGGACTCGTTAATGAGAGCAAGATAGTGAGATGGAGACCCTGGTATTTTTCAATTCTCTCCAAAAACCATGATTTAGATGGTGCTGATCTCAGGATTAAAGAATAAGGACACTGATCATTGTCTCCTCACAGACTAGCTTCACAGCCCAGTTCAGGCCAAGTCATCCACAATGAGATGGTCACTAAGCTCTCCATCATGAACACTTTCAAATGTCAGCAGAAATACAGTCAGTCACAGTCACACTCAAACAACAAAAATGTATTTTTTCAATCTTCATCTGTGCTAACTTTGGGTGCCATTGGCCATCATGTCTACAGGTATAAACCATAGACTGTATATACTATGGACAACTTAGTTCCGCCTCCCGCCAGTATACGAATTTGAAGCCACAAAGCTCTCGGTAATTCCGCTTTTTTTCTCCATTTCCTGAAACCAACATTGCACAGTAGCGTTGTATACACTTCACCACTTGCGCAGTAGCATTGTGCGCATTCAGCGGGAAAGTCGCCAAGAGTGGCTGCGATGACGCTCAGCTCAAACAGCGTATCCCCCGGGTGAGCTACGCAATCCTTGTATGCCCATAGGCTTTATCAGCTGTCAATCATAGAAAACATGAACCTTCTAATAACTTGGATAAAAATGGAGCTGTACAGAACAAGAGGACTTAAACACAAACCAGTCTTACAATAACTACATGTCAACATTGCAAGCAGGGGGAAAACATTGATGTTCTGAATAATAAATTTGTAAAATTTGTCCACAGCTCCATAAGCTTTGCTGGCGGAGGCAGGATTTATGACCTATACTGCAGCCCGCCGCCAGAGTGTGCTGTTCTCGGAGTGGCTTCACCCAGCAAGGAGGCAGACGCTGTCCATTCTATATACAGTCTATGGTATAAACAATCTGCATTGTGCACACAGCACTGAAAAAAAAAAAACTAGAAGCATCTTCCTCTCCTGAACATTACAAAGAATGACAATCCAATGTTGTAATGCATTTGTTTACTTTAATTTCCTCTGTTGTAGTTGTGTCCTATGCTTAGTCCTTGTCTCTGTTCTGATGGATGTTGTTGGACCAGCCCTCTGTCCAACTCACCCATCCTCTCTCTCTGAGGGACACAGCTCTCCTTATCTCCCCTCTGGGAGCCATTAAACGAGAGGGCCAGAGAGCCGACTTATTGATTTCAGACTTTGTCTTTTTCTCTCTCTCCATCAGGTAGCGTGGCTCTGGTGGTCTTATCAGTCAGACTGAAGGTTGTTTTTCACTCCACAGCAATCAAAACCTCTGACAGTTTAGTGTCCTGGTTTTATCGCTGCTGAGATGGACTTTTTCTGGCCACCATAGATCTGCACACTGTGGAAAATTTGTGCTGAAATTGAAATTCACAATGAACTAAACTTTAAGCCTCTCAGATCTGTCTGTTAAAATCATGCAGCCTCTCATCATTAATCTTAACACTTTCATGTTCTCAGGCGAATGTCAACAGTTGTCTCTTAATGATTATGATTAAAATTCAGATTATAACAATAATAGAAATGTGTTTGCACAAGGCCCTAGCCAAAAAAAGGACTGATTAAAATTTACATTTTTTTAATCGGAATTTTTCGTGACTGTGTTTGTCTACATGTAACATTTTGTTTGTAGATATCTGAAAAAACAACAACAAATAATGCAGCATTAAAAATGCTCCTAAAAACTTACCTTATGAAATCGTATCACTATTTTGTACCTTACAGCTAAAAAGTTTATTTAATATTCCCGTGAGGAGTTTTAAGTTGGGAGTAAAACCAGCTGAACTATATCTGATGCGACTTTATGAGTTAAAAAGAACATCAGTTAATTTCAACACCTGGAATAACTGTTGAGAGGTAATATTTAGAAATAGATAGTTAGAAATAGTTAGGGGACTGAAAAAAAAAGGGATAGCACAGACCCAAGGTGGGCTACTGACTGCACGCTTAGCAGAGGATGGTTTCGATCCATCGACCTCTGGGTTATGGGCCCAGCACGCTTCCGCTGCGCCACTCTGCTTGTGCTTCTCCAAAGAAGGGCCTGCACTCCTGTCCTATCTGTGTGTTCTGGGATTTAGGAAGAGGGCAATCCTTTGAGCGAATCCAGAGCCACGTGGATCAACCAACAATATTTGCAAAAAGCCTTTTCAACCAGTGAACCTTTCACTCCGGCTGGAAGGCGATTGAGCAAGTTGAGCAAAAGATGAAATTATTTCCTTTTTTTGAAGGACTAGCCAGTGAATGCAAGTTATCAAGATGGAGGTTTCAAAAGCTTTGTTGCACAGGATGATGGAGCACCCAACGGACTGGTACCCCAAAAATACCCTAAGCTTAAACTTCTTTCTCCTGGCCAATGCCTGAAATCCATTTGACCTGGCCTCCTTTAAAACTCCCTCCCATTCAAGGTCTAATTTTCTGTATTCTCTGTGATGAACACGCTCCACATTTGCTAAGGCTGCTAAACTTGAAGTCATCAACAAGCTGTGACAGGCAATGGCACGAGGACACTGACAAGGTGGTTGTCAAATGGCAGTGGTGGGATTCGAACCCACGCCTCCGAAGAGACTGGAGCCTAAATCCAGCGCCTTGGACCACTCGGCCACACTACCACGGCCTGCAACGGTGCAGCTGAGGTGGACCTTTATTCGTGATGGTTTGAGATCTTGTCTTTTTCTCCTTTCTATTATAACAGGTTGGAATTGGTGGCTTTGTCAGCAACCCTTGCAGTCTTCACTTGAAGCAGTGTGTAACCTGTGGACAGACCCCCCCAAAAACAAACAAAAATGAAACAATCAAATGAGTAACTGAAAGGGACATGACATTAGGCCAGAGTGGGGAAAGGATCACACCATTGGGAGGGGAAGGTGTGGATGGACGGGTGTAGCATGTCACTGCTGTGCTAATAGGCCAGTAAGCCCAAGGGTTAAGGCTTGGCCTTGTGTAATGATCTTTGCTGCTTGAGAGAGCGAGGCAAGTACATTTACCTCTTCAGTGGCTCATTAAGTCAGAGAAGTGATAGAGCTTTGAGCACAGGAGGTAATTTGAGTCAAGTATAAAGCTGTGCTTGTCTTATGGCAGTGGTGGGATTCGAACCCACGCCCCCTGAGAGACTGGAGCCTTAATCCAGCGCCTTAGACCACTCGGCCACACTACCTTGTTGCGCTCGACGCTTCTTGAGAGGTTTGCAGGTGCAGGGCATCTTGACATGTTTCGTGGATAAGCTGGGATTTGTAGGTTGCATCAACTGCACTTGCAATACTGACCCGGCTGATGCATAACCCAGTGGCAACCAAAGACTAGACTGACTAAAAGGGACAACACAGACCCACAGGGGGCTACTGACTGCACGCTTAGCAGAGGATGGTTTCGATTCATCGACCTCTGGGTTATGGGCCCAGCACGCTTCCGCTGCGCCACTCTGCTCGTACTTCTCCAAAGAAGGGCCTGCACTTGTAATACTGACCCAGCTGATGCATAACCCAGTGGCAACCAAAGACCAGACTGACTAAAAGGGACAGCACAGACCCAAGGTGGGCTACTGACTGCACGCTTAGCAGAGGATGGTTTCGATCCATCGACCTCTGGGTTATGGGCCCAGCACGCTTCCGCTGCGCCACTCTGCTTGTGCTTCGCCAAAGAAGGGCCTGCACTCCTGTCCTATCTGTGTGTTCTGGGATTTAGGAAGAGGGCAATCCTTTGAGCGAATCCAGAGCCACGTGGATCAACCAACAATATTTGCAAAAAGCCTTTTCAACCAGTGAACCTTTCACTCCGGCTGGAAGGCGATTGAGCAAGTTGAGCAAAAGATGAAATTATTTCCTTTTTTTGAAGGACTAGCCAGTGAATGCAAGTTATCAAGATGGAGGTTTCAAAAGCTTTGTTGCACAGGATGATGGAGCACCCAACGGACTGGTACCCCAAAAATACCCTAAGCTTAAACTTCTTTCTCCTGGCCAATGCCTGAAATCCATTTGACCTGGCCTCCTTTAAAACTACCTCCCATTCAAGGTCTAGTTTTCTGTATTCTCTGTGATGAACACGCTCCACATTTGCTGAGGCTGCTAAACTTGAAGTCATCAACAAGCTGTGACAGGCAATGGCACGAGGACACTGACAAGGTGGTTGTCAAATGGCAGTGGTGGGATTCGAACCCACGCCTCCGAAGAGACTGGAGCCTAAATCCAGCGCCTTGGACCACTCGGCCACACTACCACGGCCTGCAACGGTGCAGCTGAGATGGACCTTTATTCGTGATGGTTTGAGATCTTGTCTTTTTTTCCTTTCTATTATAACAGGTTGGAATTGGTGGCTTTGTCAGCAACCCTTGCAATCTTCACTTGAAGCAGTGTGTAACCTGTGGACAGACCCCCCCAAAAACAAACAAAAATGAAACAATCAAATGAGTAACTGAAGGGACATGACATTAGGCCAGAGTGGGGAAAGGATCACACCATTGGGAGGGGAAGGTGTGGATGGACGGGTGTAGCATGTCACTGCTGTGCTAATAGGCCAGTAAGCCCAAGGGTTAAGGCTTGGCCTTGTGTAATGATCTTTGCTGCTTGAGAGAGCGAGGCAAGTACATTTACCTCTTCAGTGGCTCATTAAGTCAGAGAAGTGATAGAGCTTTGAGCACAGGAGGTAATTTGAGTCAAGTATAAAGCTGTGCTTGTCTTATGGCAGTGGTGGGATTCGAACCCACGCCCCCTGAGAGACTGGAGCCTTAATCCAGCGCCTTAGACCACTCGGCCACACTACCTTGTTGCGCTCGACGCTTCTTGAGAGGTTTGCAGGTGCAGGGCATCTTGACATGTTTCGTGGATAAGCTGGGATTTGTAGGTTGCATCAACTGCACTTGCAATACTGACCCGGCTGATGCATAACCCAGTGGCAACCAAAGACTAGACTGACTAAAAGGGACAGCACAGACCCACGGGGGGCTACTGACTGCACGCTTAGCAGAGGATGGTTTCGATCCATCGACCTCTGGGTTATGGGCCCAGCACGCTTCCGCTGCGCCACTCTGCTCGTACTTCTCCAAAGAAGGGCCTGCACTTGTAATACTGACCCAGCTGATGCATAACCCAGTGGCAACCAAAGACCAGACTGACTAAAAGGGACAGCACAGACCTAAGGTGGGCTACTGACTGCACGCTTAGCAGAGGATGGTTTCGATCCATCGACCTCTGGGTTATGGGCCCAGCACGCTTCGGCTGCGCCACTCTGCTTGTGCTTCTCCAAAGAAGGGCCTGCACTCCTGTCCTATCTGTGTGTTCTGGGATTTAGGAAGAGGGCAATCCTTTGAGCGAATCCAGAGCCACGTGGATCAACCAACAATATTTGCAAAAAGCCTTTTCAACCAGTGAACCTTTCACTCCGGCTGGAAG